AAAAAAAATCTGATTAATTTTCCTGTTTAGGAAAGTGTGGTGTAAAAGAAAACACCATCAGAGATAAGATCGGATTTATTAATGCATACAGAAAACCTATTTGCAGCTGTGTGTTTGTGTGTGTGTGTGTGTGTGTGCTGAGCAGGTCAAGGTTACTCATGCACACAAAGCTCAATTAAAGCAGAGCAGGAAGAGTAAACCCAGTGGCATCCTGCCCAGACTTCAGTAATCACACTGAAATACACCTGCGTAATGCTCAGAGACACACACACACACACGCACGCACACAAACACACACACCATCAAGATGGTACAGATATATATTCATAGCCACACAAAAACTCCCTTTTAAAAATTGCTCAGAGATGCATCTGCCGCGCTGTGCATCAAAGTTGATCTGAATGATCAGAGGTAAAATTGTCACTTATTATTCATCAGCCGGCCCCATCAGGACTGAGAAGGAAAAAAAAAAATCCATCATCCACATGTTCCTGTGGGAGTCCATGTCCGCCTATCTCCAAGGCGGTCATGCAAAGAGAGCAAAGGGTGTAACAAGTGCATCAGGCTGCAACATAAGAGCTGCGGCACAGACAGCAATATAAATAAGAAAGACATCAACATCAAAGCAGCAAGTATTTTTTAGCCTGGGTTTGCATTTGTTCCAATTATGTTTATGTTTAAATTCTTTGTGTCATTGAAAAAAAGGCAGGAAAAAAAAATCTTTGCCTACTGAATATACGTTGGTTCTAGGATATTCCCAAAAGTACAAGTTTTAGTTCATGTTATTTTCAGTGTAAACAACTTCTGTTCTAATAATATGGATAATAACAACAATAATAACAACAATAATATAATAATAATTCCAAAATATTTGTCATATTATTATAATACAGTTTTTACTAAACAACAGCCAAAAGGGTCTAGTAAATTGTAACCAATACTCACCAAGACAGTGTGGTTCCTTGCCACTCCAGTAGGGGGTGCTGGCATTGCGGCAGGTCAGCACTCTGGGTCCCTGCAGCTGGTATCCAGTAAGGCAGGAGAAGAACGCTTCTCCTCCAGCGTGGAGACTGCTCACTAATACGTCACCGTAAAGAGGCCGTCGGGGGAAGACGCAGCTCAGCACGAAGACTGTGGAGACGGGGGGAGGGGGGAGGGAGGAAAAGGTATCAGGTATCAGAGCCAGAGTGGACAAGACAAGACAGAGTGTGAGGAGGAATTGAGCTGGAAAGGAGTGAAATTGCACAGGAAGTTGTTTCTTAGTGAAATATTTCAAGCTGGAAAGGAGTGGAAGGAAGTTGTTTCTTAGTGAAATATTTCTTATTATTTTAATATAAATTAACATGATATCATAACAGATACTGCAGCATTAGACCCTGTTTAATGTACACAGTGTTTATACACAACAACACATGTTCTGTAGCACAAGTTCCTTCCTCTCCATCCATCAGTTTCAGGGTCAGTGACCTGGAAAAGGTTGGAGACCTCTGATGTACAGAGTAAACTGCAGACTAACACAGCTACCTGTGGAAAAAAGATCTTTTTTTTTAATATCAGCAGAATGCTGGTGTGCAGTGGTGAGGAAAGGAGCCTGCCAGAGCTGTTACAGCAGCTTTGGCAGAGCAGGCAAGGGCTGCTTGGCAGTTGCTGAGAGAAGGGTCTCCAAGGAAAGATGATTGTTCTAGTCCAGAGCAATGACAATTTGGTGAGAACCACCAAAACGTTATAATTGGCTGTGTAGAGAACACTGCAGTGACAGCATGGTTGGATACCTGCTAATGAGGCCCCATGCTAGTACCTGGCTTTGATCTGGTTCAGTGAAGGGCCTCCAAGGTCCCGTTGCCTCGGGCACCTGGAGTCTGTTGGAACACCCTTGCAGACTGTCCCTGTGAGCTGTGGAGAGAGCTGTGTTTTACTGAATAAAGGGCCACAGCTTATTACTGTGAGATTTGTAAGAACATATTTGAATTATTTTCTTTAATTGTGTGATAATATTAGGTTTAGATCAAGCTTAGTTATACTGCCATGAACATTCAACTGTCATTTTCCTGTATTATTTATTTCAGTTTAAACAAAGCCGTCTTTGGCTCCCTCTCCTTCAGACGAGCCTTGACTGAGATTTCCTCTCCATCTCCGTGTGGTTCAGAGACACATCAACAGATGTTGAAAAACAACAGGTCGTCTACTGTTCTACTCCAGGGTGACATTGAAACTCACATTCATATCTTTGATGAATTTAGTCTGTTTGATTTATCTGCTTTTTTTTGTTTATTTTTACTGTTAAAAAATAGCAATGCAAACCGATGCAGAAAGTGCGTGATCTTTATAAGCACTGGGTGATCTTTATTTATAAACAAACGTAGTAAAACAATGCAATCACACTGGGTGATCTTTATTTATAAACAAAAAGTCATGAGGCAGAGAAAAAAATGAATTAATAAAAAATGTACAAATTTGGTGGTTTTATTTATCCATCCATCCATCTAAAACTTGAACTGTGTCTTTTTTAAATGTGAGCGCCGTGTCCTCATTGGCTGTCTGGCGTCTGGTGACCAGTGAAATGAGTGGCTGTTTGATTTTGCCAAAGACCTGTTGCCTCCAGGTGGAGGGCCAAACAAAGTATTAATATATTTCTGCTAAAGTCTCTGATCCGTTTCAGAGTAATTGTCCTGCTTTTATCGTTAGCCTCGAGACGACTTGGCAGTCGCGCTGCTATTGATTCTGTCTGCAGGGACAGTGCTGTGCCACTGGACAGGAAATATGTAGGGAGATTACAAAGGCCAATAAATGACAACCTACGACCTCCCTCCTGTCCAACACTCTGTTAGCACTGAGCGATGGTACAAGAGCTGAATAGCATCTAGCGCGAAACAGAGATTTAAAAAAAAAAAAAAAAATGAAACTGAGATTAAAAAAAAAAAAAGGCCAGTGTTTGTTTTTAAAAACGCTTCTCATTAGGAGCATCATCAAAACTGCTGCCGCAGCCGTGTTCTATCACTCCCTCAGCCAGTTATTACCACAGTCTGTGTCGCTGTGCTAATATCCAGGACAAACTAAAACATGTGGTGCTCCCAGATTCAGTGGGTATGAGAGAAGGAGATAAAAGAGCCATCAAGCTAGCGTTGTTGTACCATAACCCTGCTGCTAACAGGGAGCTTTCACAGAGAGACAAATTGACTGGGAGCAGAAAAATGTCTGCTTTACGCTTCATCACTTTGTCTTGTCTGCTTAGACTTTATAGCCATTTGTCACGTTTTGGGTTTAATAAAATGTTATTGATAAGCACTGCCTTTCTTTCTCTTTTTATTTCTCACTGGAGGGTGAACGCCGACCTACAGAGAGCAGGCTGGAAAAAGCGGAGATATAAAACATATCAGTGGAAAGAAGTACACCTCAATGAGTTCCTGTCTTTTACTAGAAATAAAAAAATAAGCTTCCAGTTTAATTTCTACTCCACAACACAGGGACTTTAATTCCTGAAACACACATAAAGAGAAGGAGGAGAATGTTTTTAAAAAAATTCAAATGTATATAGAGTCTTGTATGGGTTTGTTAAGGCACATATTCACTAACAAGATTTTGTGTAATCTCATTATAGAAGCTGCATCATAGACATTGATGGTTGACAGCTTTGTTTTTAGGAAAAAAACAAACCTTTCCAGCCTTTTAGCCTTACCTTCTACTCTGACTCCCAGGAGGAAATACATGTGGTCATTTCATTTTAACTTTTTTACTACTGACATCATTAATCTGTCTAATTCTGTGCCTTTAGTGAATGAGGAAGTAGATGAGAGTCTTTAAATGTTAAAGATAATATTGACATATTGAGGTTCATCCCAGTTTCAGGAGTTCAGCAGTAAAAGTACAACAGTAACATTCTAGGGCTTTTGATCCGCCAACTCTAATATATTTTTACAGCGGCACAAGTTATTTCTTAAGTAAAATATTGTAATGGCTGCAATTTCTTAAAACAAAAAAAAAAACATTATCCATCAGTTTTTTATCATTTCCTACTCATTATCAATATTAGAAATGGACAAAAATGAAAGTGGAATGAAAAAAAAAAATCAAATATAACGGACTGTACAACAATTTTGCTGAGTACGCTATTTTTGGTTTAGTTTTCTCCACAAACCGATGACAAAGACAAAATAAAATTTTATTAATACATTGCAGTAAAAAAAAAATAAAAAAAATCCCTTGCTCTCCTACAATAACTGTGGAATAGATATATGCCCCATAAAAAAGTCTGAGGAATGAAGAGCCCAGCTGAGCTGCTGATGTCAGCGAGCATATAAAGTCTCCCGTCCTGGTGGGTCTGGACTCAACGGCCCAGCTGGGTTCGAGTGATTCCCATGGTGAAATAATCTTAATTTATTCTCATCTCTATAAATAGACTTTTACAGCAGCGGGGAAAACAATGGCATTAAAAGATGCATCTGCTGTCCTGCCTCTGATGTAACGACACACACACTGATTCATGTCTGGAGACGACGGTGTCAAACCAACAGTGAAATCCTCCTGGCTAAATGTGAGTGTATTTTTATTATCTTGTCTCCATAAAGTCCTCAACTCAGCGGAGAGTATACTTTTAGGAAACTTTCAGGAACTGAGGTCGAAGTTTCCAGAGGTGGTACAACCTTGTTGCTTAAAAAAAAAAACAATTTCTCAGGTTGAGAAAGTACACAGGAAGTACACAGGAAGTACACTGGAAGTACAGGAGGGTCGGTTGTAACCTCACCCCAATTTCTCAGGTTGAGGAAGTACACAGGAAGTACAGGAGGGTCGGTTGTAACCTCGCAGTTTGACTACTGGATGACTGGATACTTTTTGAATGAAGTAAATTTAGTGTTTAGTGTTAGGATATGGAAGGAAAAATAAAAAAACAAACAAATGTCCTTCCTGTGCTTCTTAGTTTAACTACAAGACTCATCAACTGATTAACTTTTGAAAGTCAAATCCTGATTGGTTAAAGCCTATTTATCCTCTAACTTTGGCAATTAAATATAATGCAGCACAGTTGTCGTTGTACTTTATGTGAGAAATATAAAAACATTCACTGCTGCACTAAGTGGAAAATGAGTATTTACACTGTACAGTATACTTGGGTATACTACTGTACGTAGTAACTGTTTCCTCTGGGCTGCTTGACTACGTACTGGGCATTAATGTCTCTCCACAGTTACACTCGGCCTTGACCATATCTAATCATGCCTCGTGGCCACGTTGTAGATCACACGGGAAGAGCAACAATTTGACATGTTTAATGGTTGGCTGCATTCAGACGATGTAAATTGAATTTATGTAACTGGCACTAACGTTAGGATACAGCTTTCAAGCCGCACGCCGGCGCTAAGATCAAAATTAGTCTCTAATCTCATTTGGTGACTCAGGGCGTTTCTATCTGCTGACCACTGGCCTCGCATTATTGCATGGAGCTGACAAAGCCTGCTGAGATGAATGCATTTGCCGCTCTGTTTCCACACTGCGCTCCAACAGCAGGATTTTCTTCAGGGTGTGTCATGCTTTATTTATGGCACATATGCTGCAATTGTTTGAAATGCACTCTTAGTGACACACTTAAATGTACAACTTGGAATCCGTCCACACACTCACTGCCTAAAGGCCACTGTACGTAGATAAGAGTGGACAAACTGAGACATGAGTTTAAACGCATCCTCTTTGTTCAGATGAGATGTGACAAAATTTAATGAATAAAATGGGCCTGGAAAAAAAAAAACACGTCTCTAAAGGGTAAAACTGAATGAGTCAGCACTGAGTGGTAATAAGTCGATTTACAGAAAAGGAAACAAAGAAAAGTGTGACCTAAAGAAAAGAGGAGAAATCTGGAAACTGTCAAATGTTAAGAACTTTAATCTGATCTTCACTGTCTGACTCTGTTTTTTTATTCTGTCTTTTTGTCCTAATTGTGCTGAGATCTACAGGGAAGGACACAAAACAAAGAGGACTACAGAGGAAAACAAACACAAAGTAGGAGAAGCCCTGACTTGAGTCCACTGGGACGTTACCCTTCCTCCTCCCACCACCCTCCAAAGACCATCAACTATGATAAATAGCCAGCAGGAAGATGAGGGTGAGGGGTAGAAACCCCCAGGTGGATGATCATACAT